AACTACACTCGTAAGCGTAGTGTCCTGTCTTTTGACATCTGTTGCATCTCTGCAACTTCTTGTAGCCTGTAGAGCGAGCCTTCTCGCTCTCTACATAACAGAGTTCCATCGGCTCTGGACCTCCGTTGTCATATCGTCTCGGTTGACGATATGATGTCGAGCTGGCGCGAGCCTGTCTCAGACTGAAGTCTTCCTGCTCCGCAATGGAAATGGCTTGTTCTAGTGAATCTAGTTCAAGCCGGAACAGGTGAGTCTTGACGGGACCATCCGCAAGACCCTGCATGAACACCGAAACCAACGTGTGTTCATCCACCGGATTGGAACTTATACAACTCGTGAGATGTCGTATATGTTGGGCGTAAGCGTGCACATCACGCTTACCCTGTTTGAGCTTCAAGAGTTCGGTTCGAGCCCTGAACTCAGCTCTAGGCGGTTCAAACGTTTGTCTGAGCCGCGACTTGAAGACTTCCAACGACCCAAACGCATATGGGTCGTGCAATTTGAGCCCCAGTGCCCAAGTCTTGGCACGTCCTGCCAGATTTGACTGGGCAAATGCAACTTGCATATCCCCGTCGTCGATGCGACGCGCCCTTATGGCGTCATCCAATTCGACGAACCATCTCAAGAGGGAGTCTTCTTCGACCCCCCTATACTTTGAGATGTCAATCTTCAAAGTCTCGGGTCGACGCGAGTGCATCGACCCGCCAGCAGCAGCCTGCTGCTGTCTCAACAGTTCAAACAGTTGAGCACCCTGTTCTCTCAACAACTCTGCTTGTTGAGAACCTTGTTGGTGAAGCAAGGCTACTTTCTCGCGTTCTGCGTCAAGTTCATTTTGAATGAACTTGGCGATAGTAGCATGTTGGGCATCTCTATTGAGAGCCTCTAGCATGACGCTAACAGCATGGATGCCCATGGTTGAACCCATCCGTTCAACCGCATCCCATTCGACATCGCTCAAATGGGAGTAGCCGTCACGCGTAGCGTGAAAGCTTTGGTCATCTTCATCATCCAACATATTCATGTTGGATGTGAACGCGGTCCTTGGACGGACTACGAAGTGCTACCAGGTGTAACGGGGCACCCTGAAGCTTGTACTGGTGACAGTACAAGCTACTTATTCTGATGACAGAATAAGGCGGTGCCTCGCAACTTCACGTACACTCGTACGTGCAGAGGAAGACGGTAAGAAGAAGCGAGTACTTGGTTAAAGTAAAAAGTAGAACTGTATTTATAATAGTTAATGTCTGCAATAAATCACTATTTATCTTCATCTAACTATGTCTAAATACAAATGTGTAAATCAGTTATCTGCTCACCACTCATTGCGTGCGTCTGTCGTGGCGCGTCTTCGTTGGTTGATATAATGGCCTATATCAACCAATTAGAAACTACTTGTAAGTGCTACAGAATATTTGTCCTTATGACAATATTCTGAGAATATAACTCTTATAGTTATATTCTATTAACAATTTCTTATAAATTGTTATGTAACGATTCACCCCGTTACAGTCTTTCACAGCTTTGTTATGGTAGTTGTAAAAATTTCGTAGGAGCGACGCACCATACTTGTAGTTCGTGCTTCTTTTTCCTTGTAGATCTGTTGTTGGTCAAGATAGACCGTCCAGCAGCTTATCAAATACCAAGCTCTCACCAATGCTAAGAACATAACAACCTGCTTTTGTATAGTCGCGGAAGAAAAAAGCAAGCATTTAAAGGGGTAATGTAATAGGGTAAGCCCTTTACATGAAATTGACACCAAAGGGTGTCAATAGGAATATTGTCTAGCATGACAGTTTTCTACCAAAATCTTCCGAGGTGGATGATACTGAAGGAACATTATCCTCTTTAGATAATATTCATGCGCTGCTCCACGATTGGTTGATAAAAGACATATTAATTATAGATTGCCACCAATCGCTGCTAGACGCGCGCAATGCGTGGTGAGCAGGTTGTCGTCATACGACGACGTAGCTTAATATAGTTTAGATGAAGATTAAAGTTATATTGATAGCTAAACTAGCTTGAATACAGTTCTCGTTTACCCTTTACTCAGCTTAGTTGTTTAGTAGATTAGCTTCCTCTGCACGTACTAGAGTACGTGAAGTTTCGTGGCACCCCAAACAAAGGGTGCCCCTGTACACCCAGTATTACTTGTTGATTCGTCCAGCGACTACTTATTGTCCGTCCAACATGAACATGTTGGACGTAGAAAACGACAGCTTATACATCACACTTGAAGGGTACTCTCATCTGAGTCACTCAGAATGGGAGGTAGTCGGCCGCATGAGTGTGCTAATGGGCGACCCGCCATCAGTGGTATGTTGGAGTCTCTAAGCAGAGACCAGCAACATGCTGCTATCAATAAGTTCCTACAAGGGGAAATTGTCGTCGAAAGACAGAAGATAGCCTTGCTACAACAGCAAGGCTCTCATCAGTCGATGGGCGGGCCGACGCACACGCGTCGACCCGAAAATTTGAAGATTGATATCTCAAGGTACAAGGGAACCGATGAAGATTCCCTTTTGAGATGGTTCGTCGATTTAAACTACACCATCAGGGCCCGTCACATCGAGGGTGAAGAGATGCAAATCGCCTTCGCCCTGTCAAATTTGACAGGGCGAGCAAAGACTTTGGCCATAGGGCTCAAGCTCATCGACCCAAACGTGTTTAGGTCGTTGGAGATCTTGAAATATCGGCTCAAAGACACCTTTAAGCCGCCGAAATCCGAGTTCAGAGCACGCTCTGCACCCTTAAGGCTCAAGCAAGGTAAGCGTGATGTGCATGCTTACACACAACACCTACGCTACCTTGCGAGTAGCGTCACGGAAAACCCTGTTGATGAGCACACGCTCATCAACGTGTTCATCTACGGCTTTATAGATGGGCCGGTCAAGACCTACATATTCCGAGAGGACTTCCATACGCTGGAAAAGGCGAAAGCGTACGCAGAACAATAGGAATTCAGCCTGAGGCAGTCTCAGGCTAACTCGTCAAACTATCGTCCGACGGGACGACAGGAAACAGGAGGTCCCGAACCAATGTACCTCGGTTACATCGAGAGCGAAAACTCTCGCTCTCTGAGTCACAAGTTATCGGCATAATTCCATCGCTTTCAGAAGATTGGACACTACACCCAGGAGTGTAGTGTCCCGAGCACCGCAACACGTCCAAAGACAGGACGTGATGACCTCCGTTGGCAAAGGAAGGGTCCAAGGCGCGGGTCCGACCATGTCGCTAAGCCGCGACAACAAGTCGGACCGTAAAAAAATGGACAGGGTCAGTACGGGCGGAGCATCCTGCTGATCCAGCAACGTCAAGAGAATTTGCAGTACTTTTGACGAAGATTGCTCCCAACACACAGTCGCTGTGTGTTACTGCCCCTAGTGATGAGGTGTCCCTCATCACTTTGAAGGTCGAAGAAGTGACAAGCAGAATGTCACTTCGCGCCCTAGTTGACTGTGGGGCGTCGAGTAGTTTTATTCGACGCCAGTCGCTAAGGGATAGTAGTCTCAACTGTGTCAAGCGATAGTTCCCTCCAACGAGGATGACGGTGTGCCTTGCTACAGGCGCATCCGTAACTGTGAACAAACGTGTAGTGGGGATCTACCACACGCTAGAAGAAAGCAGTACGATGATGACTTCATCGTACTGGACTTGGATGATAAATATGATGTCATCCTTGGTATGCCATGGCTCAAAAGACACGAGCCATGGATAAGCTGGCAGAATCGATTTGTGAAGATGCCTGCCGTTTGTTCATAGGATGGCCATCTGATGGACGTCTTGGAGCGTTCACAAGCGTCTGGATGTACTACGAGTGAGTGCGATGGCCTCACTTGTGGTACGGTCGTTCGTATGACTGCACAAGATCACAGTGTAGAAGGCCACTACACTGTGGAACCAGCTTCCGGCACCTGTGCAGAGACACAGGCTGCGCCGAAGATTCACCACTCGAAGAGATCGAGTGGACTGGAACACGGATGCACACCAAGGAGGGTGCATCGAAGAAGAGAGATTAGTGTTGTTCAGGATGAACGACACGTTGAAGCGAGATCGACTAACAGAGAGTCAGTCGTAGAGCAAGCCCGATTAAATAAAAGAGAGTCGATCAAACAGGACGTGGCTGTGGTAGTACATCCACAGTCAGTACACGTATTAAAAGAAAGTTCCAGCGTTCCTGAGAGCAATAACTCCCGAGAGAGTTATGTTAAGGGTCTGTTTCCCCAACCACCTGCGGATGTGTTTTCCCAGGAAATCACCGAGACAGTGTATGTCTTGGTGAATGACGGATAAAGCGTAGGCGCTTATACACTTGATCTGGTTACACGTCTGAAGTCAGCTTCGGAGGTGGCCAAGTTGCCAACGCTATAATCTAAAAGATTTTGCGAGATCTGCGTTGTGACAAGATCAAGCAGATCTGCGTACTCTTCACAGAGGACGATTACGCTCGCCGATATTCGGTCGGCACAAGTGTTTACTGAGAACGAAATGGTTCTCAGTAGCTCATCGATGGACGAGATGAGTCCTCTATGAGAAGACTCGGATTGAGCGATACACGTCTTAATCTTGGGATTCTTTGTAGACAAATCCTTTGCATGAGAATTTGGCTGAATTCAGGGATGTTTTCCCTGAATCCGTGCCATGCGAGCTGCCCAAGGACAAAGGCACTCGGCATGAGTTGAACTGAAACCCGGTTCGAAGTACTGTGTCAGGAAGCAGTGGCCACTGCCTCGTGAACAGGTCACAGCGATCTACAAATTCTATGCCGATCGCTTAGCGGCTGGTCATGTGAGAAATCAACTTCCCCACACAGCTCTCCTACCTTCTGTGTGCGACAGGCCACAGGAGAGTGGCGGATAGTGCACGCGCTCAACAAATTAAACGCTGCAACGGTACCGGCTAAAACGCCGATACCGAGAAAGGACGTCATCATAGATGGTATGGCAAATAATACCGTCTTTTCGTCCATGGATCTAATGGATGGATTCTATCAAATCCTCATGCGTGAACAGGACATCCCGTACACAGCAGTGAGCACCCCTAGTGGTATGCTCTGGGAGTGGCTAGTGATGTCACAGGGGCTAAGTAATGCCCCTGCTACGTTCAACAGATGTGTTACGAATCTGTTGCGATCAATGCGCAATTTCGCACCGAGTTACTTCGACGATGTCTTCGTCCATAGCCGGGCTATGGATGGAAAGTCGGACGTTGAGGTTCACAAAATCCACGTCCGGAAGGTCCTTACACTAACGCAAGAGCGTAAATTGTTCGCGAACCTCAAGAAGTGTATATTCGCAGCGAACGAAATACCACTTCTTGGCTGCATTGTGGGTAAAAACGGTGTACATCCTGATCCGGAAAAGATCAAGGCGATTAGCAACTGGCCTGTGCCAGTCGACTTCAAGGGACTTCTAAGTTCCTTGGCTTAGCGACGTACTTGCACAAGTACTCGCGCAACTATTCTAGGATGACCGTACACCTCTCTCATCTGCCAAAGAAAAACGAGAGGTGGTCATGGAGTGCTGAGTGTCAGCACTCCTTTAAAGGTATCAAGAAAAGCTTGATACAATCGCCTGTGTTGGTGATTGCCCAGACCAGGACGGACCATTCCATGTGGTCTGTGACGCCAGCGATTTTGCAATCGGCTGCGCGTTGATGCAGTACGACTCAGACGGCGTTGAGCGCGTCGTCGGTTACCAATCGCGTCAGCTGCAAGCAGCTGAGCATAGGTACCCGGTGCATTACAAGGAACGCTTAGCCATGAAATATGCACTGGCTAAGTTTCGGGTATATCTCTTAGGAGATAGGCCCTTCATCGTTTTTACCTACTATGCATCGTTACGCACGGCCGTAAACAGTCCACACCTCTTGCAACGAATGGCGAGGTGGCTGTCTTTCTCGCGGAGTACAACTTCTCCGTCGAGTATAAACCAGGACGACTTAATGTCGTCGCTGAAGCTCTTTCACGTCGGCCCGATTTCGAGCCGACTGCTCTACACAACAGCATGGGTGATCCCACTGTTGCAACACTAACAGTGAGTGTTCCGTCGTCGAATCTGTTCGACGACGTGCGAAAAGCATACGCATAAGATAAATCTTTTCTACGGTTGATGTATTACGTATTTAATCCGTGTAATCAAACTTTGAAAAGCTTGTCGTCTCAATACCGCTCTTCAGCCGAACAATATTCTGTTCGTGATGGTCTGCTGTACTGTACAGCAGTCAACGGCGACACACCTCGTGTCGTCGTTACCGCTCAGGATGATTCACTATTGCGCATCATGTATGAGTGTCACGATGCCCCAACAAGTGGACATCGCGGTAGAGAAAAGACTTACCTCAGGTAAGTCGTGACTTCTACTGGCCCCGCCAGTATGAGTTTGTGCGCGAATGCATTCGCGCTTGCGAGTTTGTCAACGGGTGAAGCCTAGTCCTTCATCCCGCGCACCCTTGCAGCCTCTACTGATATCGGCAGAGTGTTGGTAGTCCGTATCGATGGACTTCGTCTTTGTAATTCTCAAAGACGTTCACAAGAATGCTGCTATTCTTGTGTTTTTTGATCGGTTCAGCAAGATGGTGCATCTTGTTGCTGTACCGGAGTCGAAAAAGCCCAGGGCTGTGCTCGTGTCTTCATCGATACTATATTCCGACTTCAGGAATTACCCCGAGAACTCGTGTCTGATAGGGACCCCTGCTTCACAGCGGAGTTCTGGCAATCCGTGTTCCGTTCACTTGGAACACGTTTGAATATATTTCGACTTCTGACCATCCAGAAACGGATGATCAGACGGAACGCGTTAACCGCGTCCTCGAAGAGATACTTTGAGGGTACGCCCACTCGTTTACGAGTTGGAGTGAGTTCTTGCCGACGGTGGAATTCGCCATCAACAACTCGGTGCACGTGTCTACAACGCATACACCGTTCTTCGTGAATGGTCTACGCCATCCACGTTTTTCCGCCGTCTTAGAGTGTGATTATAGTTTCAGGAGGGTGGAATCGCTTGAACAAAAACCGATCTGGTTCATGCTCATCACCCGTCGACAATGGTGTCGACGTGATGGGTGTCAATCACATCGACGTCGATGATGATGATGACGACGATACTGGCATATTCAGCGTCTCCAATGGCTGCCACAGTGAGGACGATGACGCCGTCGCTGGTGAAGACGACGTTCTTTCAGCACTTCACACGAAGCGCACTGCTGTTGACAAGGATGAATCAGCAGAGGAATTTATGCTGAATCGCGAAGCGGATGTCCGCTTCGTTCAAGACTACATTGCAGATCCACCAGACAGGCAGAAAAGAAATGCAGACAAACAGGGAAGAACAAGTGTTCTTTCATTTGATGAAGTAGATTTAGTTTTACGGTCTACAGTAAACTTACCGAAACACGCAGTAACAAACGTGGGCGGCAGTAAATTACTGCCCAAGTATATCGGTTCATTTCGTGTGTTGCGCCGGATGGGCAACGCATACACGATTGAACTGCCCCGTAAGCTGCGTACGCATCTTGCGTTTTACTTTAGACGTCTCCGCCCGTACTATCAGTACGAGCCCGTTTCAAGAGGTGAAGAACGCATCCGCGGTCGAGAGCCGAGACCACCTTCGAGTGGTCCCGTTCCAAAGAGCCAGTCTGGTCTACTAGCGAAGCGACCTGCTCACGCAGTTGAGCGTTGTCTTGACGAGCCGCAGCCAGCTCGTCACGAGGAGAACGATCGAACGTTCGTTTTGAAGTTGTGTGAACGCAAACGCGGCGCGATCATTCGAACGACCGTTCGCTAGGAATTGTAATTATCCTGTACAAGATCCTGGAGCTCATAACGCCGAGTCCGTTCATGAGCCAGGTCATCTTGCAACTGCTCCGTTACACGGTTCAATTCTTTAACTTCAAGTTGATCCGACCCTCGGACCGGATCAGGTGTTCCCGCCACCACCACATCCTTTGGTGGACTCAATTGGTGGTCAACGCTTCCTAATGGCGCGCATCTTGAACCACCGCAATGTGAATGGCGTCCGGACGAGTTACCTCGTTCGCTGGCGTGGCTATCCACCGGCCTGGAACAGCTGGGAGCATCGTGCCCAGCTGATTGTTGATGTCCTAAGTCTCTTCGAGCAGTATGACAAGACCCAACCGCGTTCGAAGAAGGGCCGTCGGAAAACGACCACCCCGAACGTGAGTACAGGAATTTCGAAGTGTCAATCCCTTCGACCATCTCAGAAGAGATGCGCGCTCTCCAGTAGGGATCATTACGGAGGAAGGCCTCCCTAGGGGCACGGTTCGAGTTGTCCAGGCAACCTGGACACGAATTATCCAACGAGAGACAGGGTAATCCTGCCTCTCTTGACATTCGGTGCAACTTTTATTGCACCCCGACTGGGTTGCGCTTCTCGAACCTGATGCGAGCTGCATCAACTTTACCGATCCAGGCCTCACGGCTATTGCACTGATGTTATGGATGAGTGCATTCCATCCTTTAAACAAGGCTTTACCGCCTCGAACACGGCTCCCATTGTGCTACCGATATTTGAAAAACGCATCGGTGAAAAACGCTTCCTTAGCACGGATAATTTTCGTGCTGGAATAAGGAGGGCAGATCTTCCTGCAATCGAACAACGGGATTCGATCCCGTTCGTTAGTCGTGCCGGACAACCGTTCCAACTCTCTAAATGGCGGCATCCACAGAGACTCCACTTCAGGAGCGTGGCGCACGACGCTTCGGTCCCTGGCCTCTTGATTGGTGCCAGCATGAGCACTGACACATGTGGCAACTTGATCTTTCGAGTTACTTCGCTCGTGAGATGCATAGGTGCATCACCACCATCTCCACGAGTCCTTTTGTTGGATGGACTTGCGTGAGGCGGAGACTCATCGGAACAATCACTCGATCCGAAGATCTCGAGCATGATGCCGCCGCGCTGACCAGAGACAGTCAGTCTGGATTTTGCAGCGTCCGCCCTGGGTGATCCCGAGGCGTGAGGAGTCTCCTTCGAGTCGAATGCATCATCCGACTCGCCGGAATAGATGAGCTATATCTCAGACTCGTCTTGATTACGATTTGAGGTACCCGCTGTAGACGCAACGGATGTACCTGTCGCACGTGGTGACTCACCACGTTGAGGATTCACGTTAACAGGCAACGAATCGCTTGCTTCTGAGGCGTGAGAGGCACTTTCCGCGGCCACACGCATGCGTGCAGCCGCTCTTCTTGCTGCTGCAGTAGCAGCTCGCGTGTTTTTTGAACCATGCGTTAAATTGGCAAATGAATGGAATTTGACCTACAAGTGCTCCCTTCCCCAGAGTGATGCAACGGTGGTCACCCTGTACCGATCAATTCTAATTTTAACAATGGGTAATTGATGCGTAAGGGGAGTGATGTAAAGGGGTAGCCTGTTACATGAAACTGACATCAAACTGTGTCAATTAAAATACTGTCTAGCATGACACTTTTCTACCAAAATTATCCGAGATGGATAATACTGAAGGAACATTATCTCCTTAGTAGGATAATATTCGTGCGCAGCTCCAAGATTGGTTGGTAAAAGACATATCAACTATAGATTGCCACCAATCGCTGCTAGACGCGCGTAATGAGTGGTGAGCAGGTTGTCGTCATGCGACAATGTAGACTAATATATTTAGATAAATACTGAAGTTATATTGATAGCTCAACCAGATTAAATACAGTTCTCTTTTTACCCTTTACACAAACTAGCTGTTGGAATAGATTAGCTTCCTCTGCACGTACTAGTGTACGTGAAGTTTCGTGGAGCCCCAAGCAAAGGGTGCCCCGTTACATGATGCGCCTACCGAGGTGTAGTGTACAGAAGCAGCGGCTGTTGTGGTCGTGACGGTCGTGGCGAGCGCGACATAATTATCTTGCAGTAGCGTTACGAGATTGGCAGATGGTATGTCGGCTATGAAATTTCGTCTCCGCCGAAATTTTGATCAAAAACCTTATTGTGTTTGGTACAGATGAAGTCCGATACCTGCTTTGGTGGCTGCCGGTAGACGCCTTAATCAGCTTCATAGAAAATTAAGTATATATTTCCGCGACCTACCCGGTAATCTAAGTCTTGGTGACAAGCAAAACGTTTTGCGGGAAATTGTCAAATTTCGTTCTCTGTATTGTTAAAGGTATGTGCGATGTCCGGGGAGAACGTGATAGCAGGAACGAGGATCATGCTTTGCTCGCACCTGCGGTCATGCCGGCAGAGATGGTCGAGACGCCACCTCCATTTAGCGAAGTTCTGGTCTGCGAAGCAGGTCGAAGAGATCGAGAGCGATCACCGCTCACTGTGCCGAGAGTATATCGTCAACGAAAGCGTCAACATCACGCTTTATCAACATGAAAACAAGACGATGTTTGAAATTGGCCGGGATGACGTCAAGGGCTGCGTATCGGACGGTTTGTTCCGTTGTCTGCGACATTTCAGCTACGGTCTAGCCACCGTGTTCTCAAATAAAGCGTCAGTGGAGTCGGATTTTTCCATACTGTAGTGATAGAAGGACGATCAGCGCACGGACTTGACTTGTCTGGTAATACGGTGAGTATTCCAGAAATAAACATTTCGACTTACTGATGCGTTTATAGACATGAAGAGCTGCGCTTCTGGTTGATGCATGGGAACCAGTCAAGTGCAAGTTTTTTAATACATGTCTATTTACTACAAGGATGTGCGTATAATTCACTTCTGTCAGTGCCGAATTTAAGACCAAGTGGCGTAGCGAATAGCTTAATTTTGGTAGATTGGGCGTTCGCCGATTTTACGGAGGTCCGACTACAGGTGTCACTCTTTGGGTAGGTCACTCATCACGACTGAACAAGTGTGTAAAGTTCAAACACGCACCAATAACCCGCACTTGATTGGCTCAAAAGTGACCACGTTCGGACAGAGAGAGAAAATCTGATGTCAGTCACTCAGGGGTGTTGGGAGTGCAGGACGCTTTGGTATCGACCCCAGAGTTTCGACCTCTACTAGTGTATGTGTAAAGTGTTCTATAGGGTTCTATGCATTGTTATTGGTCCTACGCAGCTAGTTGGATGGCTAAGTTCTCACTTGTAGACTGACAAATGACTGACTTGGCCCCGGAGGGGGCCACGTTGCGTCTGGTACGAGTTGATACACAAACGATTTATTTTACGTTACTCTTACCTTTCAACAGGGGGCAGCTAAATTATCGCACATCTTGCAAACAGTAGTTGTGAAGTGGCTTTGATCTGAATGAATTGATATCTAATGAGTAAGAGGCAATGGTCGTGTCTTTCTCTCGGCATATATAAAACTCCCTGATCTTACTTCTTCTTCTTCTTAGTTTGTTACGCATCGTGGGTCGCACTTTGTTGATTATGGCGTTACAGAGCTAGGCCAACCCTATTTTACTTTTTTATATCCTTCTGTTTTAGAAAATCAACAGCATCGATGAGTAGCTTTAATGCGAAAGGGGGGAAGCTCTGGAGCTAACCCTTTGATATGAGTAATTCAATTCATAGAAATGAATCATGTCAAAAGACACTATACAACAGCAGTCACTGAAGAAGGAGTATGATGCTGAAAATGTCTTTATAAGCCTAGTACAGATGGCTGGGGCAACGCGATCGGCCTTAGCGTATGAGCGTGTAACATGTGTTTATGTGATCATATCCACCTTTTATTGATTGTAGGCCAATCACGAGTGTGCATCACAATATTGACCTAGTCAAAGAGTGACTTTGAATACACATGTATGTACCTTGAGAAGGGGACACGCTTTATCGCACTTGGTTCGGGTAAGGTACACCTTACCGCGTTATCTACATACATACACTCAGACAGATGAGTACGATTTAAAAGCTCGGCGTTCAACCTTTCGCACACTCACGAAGAGGTTCACCCTCCTGGGCTCGCAATAAAATGCAAAGAAGAGCACTATTTAAATGGTCGCAACGGCGTCGTCAACCAAATCAGTAACATACACCAAAGAGTCGGAGGCTGTCAATTCGAGTACTTGGACTTGATGGTCTTGTGTAGACCATAATTTAGGAACTCTGTCTAGCTCGCACGCGACTGCGAAGTTAGCCGAGTTGAGAGGACGGTGCAAATCGGTATGATTACCTAGTCGCCTTGCTTCAGGAACTAATGAGAAGTTCGGCAAAATATGTACCAGACGACTTCATACGTGCATCTTATGCCCTCGATGTCTACGCAAGCCCGATAACATCAGCCTTCCTCATTTGCTTGGGTGCGGCAATACCAGCTACGGAATTGTTTGATAAACACGGAGCGGCTTCGAGATACGATACGTGTCGGTCCACAATGTAGCTTCGTATCATAGATTCTACCATTCAGATACAGATCCCTGAACCGAACCTCTTGTCCTTCGTGGGTCACGTCATGCATGCTAAACCATAACCTTAGCAGCAAACGCAAGTAAACGAGAGCTGCAAGTGCGGTTGGTATCACGCTGTCTTGCCTCCACATTTAAGGGATGCATACCTCAGTAACGGTGCTCGTAACGCATTCGATTATCACATCGGGGATCGTGCTTTTGCATTTCTCCAGCTTGAAAGGTAGGTCCATGATGGCAACCTGGAAGCGATGCGTGGTTAAACGAAACCGGAAGACCGAGCCACAACACAGAAGTGATCTGTCCCCTGTCTGCCCAAGTTCACGACGTACCAGCCACCTAACACTCTCTTCTACTCGCTCATCACGTTTTTTAGCTCATATTTACCCCTTTTCACATCAGTTATCTGAAGCAACCTGACTGTGCCTGATCGATTTACTAGACGAGATGAATGCTTCGTTCACGTCAGCATGGCTGTTGTAGCAGTCGTTGGCGTAGTGGGAGTCATGCCACCTTCTGCACTGAGCACAGCCATCTCGTCCTGGGCACGACGAAGCACCTTTTGTGCATTAGCCGTGATAACTGACTTAGTCGGGTCGCCATTGAAGATGCGCGAGTTGTTCACAATGAGCTCCAGATCCTTCACAAACTCGCGCATCGAGTCGTATTCTTTGGCCTCAATCTTGTGGCGAATGGCGCTCAAATCCATCGGCTGCTTCACAATCTGGTAGTAATTGTGAACGGTGGCTGCATCCACGGGTAGGCGAAAGAGCTCGCTTTCCGGCATCTCGAGCAAATGCTGAAGTACCACCTCCAGAGCATTGTTGAGGTGCTCTACGGGCATACGGGAGCGACTCAGTTTTATAGCGCCCTTTGCGTACGGACGCTTGTACAACTCTGCCTGCTCGCGTACTTCCATCTCTCGTTTCCGCTTTTTTTCGGCGTGGTGTTTGCGCGCACCTTCACGCAACTCTGCGAGATTAACGGTGATCTTTGTGACGGATTCGCCACCACTGACCGTTGATGGGGTCTTCTTGACCGTCAGCTTCAACGGTTCAGCCGGCACAGCATTCGCGAGTAATCCTGACGAGAAGACAGGTTTTTTTGTACGAGCTTCATCGGCCATATAGAGTGGGCAGCTGCGATTCGTACGCATGTGGCCAACTTGTAGACATTGTGTACATCGAATTGCGCCCTTGCCATTTGCATCTTCAGTATCGGCATTTTCTACGCTGTCATCAGCTTCGCCCTTCTTTAACATCTCCTGGTATCCCTTGTTCTGCGCTTCGGTCTTTCGCAACTGCTTCAATTCTTCTTGCAATTGTTTGCGTCGCTTGGCCTTGTCCAGCAAACTCTGGCTTGTTGCGTCATCTTCTAAAGCTAGCATACGCTTCCGCTTCCGCAGCTGGTTACGCTCGTCGGACTTCAGCTGACGCTCTTTGCGCTGCTGCATCGCACGGAAGCGAGCCACCTGCTTTTCATCCACAATGAACTGGATCCGAACTGTCTCGCTGCCGTCCTCCTCAACCACTCGAACAACACGCTTTAGCACTTTTCGTCCAGGAATCTTTTTCGAAGCGCTCGGTGGCTCTGACACGGCTGGCGTGCGGCTTCCATGGGTGGGTGAAGACACTCGCGATAATTGACCGGTAGGGGTCGCCATTGCAGACGACACTGCCGATCCAGCGCGAGACATCATGTTTGACCGTTCTCCCACGCCTGATACCGACGAAATGCCGCTAGTCCCCGTTCCGCCCTCTCTAATTCCACTTGCACGTAGTTGGTTGCGCAGTCCGTTAGTGTCAACATCAGGCCGGCGTACTGCGCTTGTTGCCTTACCACCTTGGTCTTCGTTCATCTCCTCCATGAGGCGGCGTAGCTCCACAGCATCTTCCCGCTCGGCAAGCACTTCCTTCGAGCGGTTAAGACCTCCACCGCCACTGCGGAACAAATTCTTTGGACCGCGCTTCGTGTCCGTGCCACCTAAGATGTCGGCCTCAACATCAGCACCTAATTCGTCAAGCTCATCATCACCGTCTGACTCTTCATCGGAAGAAAACGTGGTCTTCGCCGAACTGAGCACATCCATTTGGCGCTCATAAATCACGTCACACTTCTTTCGATACTCTTGCTGTTGCGCCGAAAGCGATTTGCGAGCACCACGTGCAAATTTACTCAAACTACCCGCCACACCGTGGGCTGTAGCACGGCTACTTAGCTCGCGCACCATGTGAATTCGGTCCCAGCGGCGCAATTTCTTAATATCTGCGTCAGCCAGACCCAGATTGCGCAATACATCACCAGCCTCCTTCATTTTTAGTTTACGCAGATCGGCAGTCGTACCAGTCACTGCTGCCACGGCCTTTTGCACGGCCGCAGTCTCTGCACTAATTTTGCTTTCAGCTGTAGGAGCCGAATCTTCCTCGCCATCTTTCTTTTTGGCCCGAGACTGGGGCACTCGGACAAAACTGAATCCCTCACCGCGACCAGTAGGATCGCCTATTCCACCAAGCTGCAGCATGCCTGAACCTTTACCCTGCAAGTGACACTCTACGTAGTTGTTCGTTAGATTCCACGGTGTAAGCTGTAACTGCTCGTTAATGTAGCGAGCAACTTGTATGTCGGTCTCGAGCTTGCGCACAACGGGATCCTTCTTCCACAATTCTGCTTGAACCTTCTCTCTTGCACGTCTCTCTAAATTTGCAGGCACAAGACGAGCGGACAATGCATTCTTTCGCAGTTCCAGACGTCGGATCATATAGTTGATAGCTCCATTCACACCAGACGGTGTAAACAACTTGGTCAGGCCTATGTCGAGCAGCCGCCGATGACCAGACATCATGCTCTCGTAAAGACACACGCTTTCAGGCGGAATGCTTGCACGGATTTCCTCTTCGCTTTGCAGTTGTGAAACTGGCTTTTTCTTCCACCAACCTGAGTCGTTGCCTCCACGCTCAAATGTAGCGACTTCCTTCATCCGTTTGCGGATAGCAGTGCCTGATTGATTAGGAAATGCACGCGCAATGTCCTCAATCTTCAGTCGTTCGCCGTCACTTGCTTTCTTGAATAGACGAAGAATGTGAAACGACATGTACGGGCGGATAAACTCATTCGCGCTGCGAGAGTTTGGCGCCGGAACTTCAATTTGAGGTTCAATTTGACCTGCTACAAAGACCGTCGGCAACTCCATGATATACACAGTTGTTGAAACTCCAAGTCCACCCGATTTATCAGTTGCACCATTTTTCTTACCCTTTGTCACAGATCGACACATAAGGAATAAATCCGAATTATTGCGCTCGCGTGCTTCCGCATTTGTAGCAAATGGAACAGTGGGTTTATGAGGGAATATGGGAACTTTGTATAGCTTCGAATTCAGTGACGTTACCACTCGCCCCGGTGGGATATCACCGACAAAGGGGGACTCATCGTGGTCCCCAAGCGTAATGACCTGGCCCATTTCCATATCCGGTGGTTTTGGGCGTGTTTTGCGGGCTTTTTTCTTTCCCAAGATACCCAAACTAGCCGACGTATCCTCCGGTGGCCGCCAATAGTGGAGAATACGAGACGCCATACCTGGGTTGGACAGCATCGGTGGGCGCTGCTCTGTGTACTCGATAAGAATCAACTTGCCACCAGCAGTCGGATTCAAGTCGGAACTCTTCTTAATTTGTGTAACCATGGCGCTCTCCTCCTGTGGTGCTAACTTGGCGGCACCTGGAGGCGGTGGCAAGAAGTCTAGCCGCTCGTTTATTTTAAACTTTCCGCGCGGTCTATGGAAATCACGCAACTTCGTCTTAGGCAGTTCAGGCTTTGTGAGCGAAAGCTTTATGGCTGGCAGCGAGTGATGCACGTAGCCAATATTCTTCACTACACGCGTATCCTTTGATTTCTTGCCACTACCTTCAGTACCCAACCGACCTTCTGCTGTCTCTTCACCAAATTCGAGATTGCCCATTACCTCATCAATACGTTGCTTCTTTTCAATACGTTGCTTATCCAGCTGCGCCAACCTTTGTTCTGCAGCTCCTAGCTTTCGTTCAGGAATCCGCAGCGTAGGACGTACATCCTCCATCTGAGAAACAGAGTATATGAGTGAGGCATCATTGTCGTCGAGCACCAGCTTGCTCTCTGGCATGTCTTGTGTAGACCTCCAGCCGATTGCCGCAACCCACGAGTCATCCAGCAGCTCCTTATTCAACGGACACGGTAATGTCTCGTGTTGACTGTTCTCCTGACTCACTCCACGCACTACATGTTCGCTACGTTTCTTTTTCAAAGTGCCCTGCAGCTCCCATCGATAGTTTCGCGGTTTCGTCGCATCAAAGTTATCCGCGCTAACCGCCGTCGGTGCCTTTACTACAGCTTCTTCACTAGCTCTTGCCGCACGCAGCTCCTTGTACGTCTGCACATTTGCTTTTCCGCCACCAAACTCTATTCTCTTGCCCCCATTACCCTCTCGATTCACAGCTTTGTTCTCACTTGCTTGTATCACAGTGACTTCACCCACTGAATTCTCAATCTCCACTTGTTTCTCCTCTTTTTTTCGGGCTCCGTCGTTTTTAGCAGCTGCCTGGAAGTCAATTCCCCAGATAATCTGGTCCTCCCACATAAGCTGCTGCACCTTGTGGTACTGAGCATCACTGCCTTCCTCGCAAGAGTCCGTGAGACCATCTAGCTTGTTGCTAGTCGCTGCCATCGTGACGAACGGCATGGCTGACGAGGCCACAAAGCGACGCATGGGCTTCCCCTTGGCTTCTGCAGCCCTCGGAGGATGCGACTGCGTCATCTGCTCCTTTCCCGCAGCACTATCAGCACTTCCACCCTCGCGCGTCGTCAGAAACTGCTGCAATTGGTCCGGAACGAACCTGGCCGTCCCGACACCGGTAGCGTCCGCCGTCGAGCTCTGTGCTTGCTGCTGCATCTGACACTCACGTGCGACTATCGCCAGCTCTTTTTGCAGCTTGTGCAGCGTTGCTGGGATCTCAGAGTAAGGCGACGATCGTTGGTACAAAGCGGCAAAGTCGACGACGTCGTTACGAGAGCGCGCTGCCTTCTTTTCCATGACAGACGCACATACAGGAGACGCAGAGGGCGTCAGCATCTTGCCAAGACTCTTAACGTTCAGTTGAGGTACCGCAGCAGAGCCACAGGCGTCTGTGGAGCGGTGGAGCGACCCGTCAAGCGACGCGCGAGTCGGAACGGCTTCTGCTTGTCGCGGAGGCGTCATATTGCCGACTGAGCCCACCACAGGTGCCGGTGATCGAATGTTACGCGAAGGTGACGCAGACACCAGAGTGATGGTAAATGGGTCCGACAGTGGCAGCAAAGAGCCATTTGACGCGTCAAAAATGAGTCGGCCAAAGCTCGACGGCACAGCGCTCGACTTGTTCGCGCGGCGGCCGGCGCGGAGCTTCATGACGCAGTTGAGCTTCGTCGATGCAGCTACGACGACACAAGATGGGGAAGAAGCTGGATACCGACCGCGACAAGTCGTTGAGCTCAGTGGGACAAGCGACGCGCCCACGACTCGCGTGCTCGAGCACGTTGTGGTCGCTTTCATCACGAAAAGCTGCAAAGCGCACGCTCAGGCGGCACAAGAGCGCGCGTTTATCTTTGACCACGAGTATCAAGTGTCCGTCGATCGGATCGCAGCGCTCGTGGCTCGTAACGTGGCTGCTGGACAGCAAGACGAGGCCGTGAGGGAAGCGCTGAGTCGAGTGCAGCTGTGCCATTGTCGGGACTCGTTCCAGTGGCTTGCGACGCTCAATCACTTGCATTACGAGCTCTTGGACGCACCTACAGCACGTACGTTGAAGCGGGAGAAGCGTTTGTGGAGACTTGAGAGTGAGGCTAAGGTGCAGCGCGTTTGTGGTTTGCGTCAACAGCTTTGATGCTGGTTTTCAACAGCGTCGGGTCTTTTCAGGCGATCGACAAGGTACATGAGTGTACTGCACGAGTAGTTCATGCTTGATCCCTGATGGAACAAAGTACGGACTTGTGGATTGTGGGCTGTTGGTGGAAGATGACAGCTAAGAGCGTGGGGAGTGGACTCGCGCTGTCGGATCAAGTATTTGTTTTTCTGAAACAGTTCATCCAGCATCATTCGCCAATTGTTTTTGCGGCAAAGGAGCTGATGAGTACGTACTCACACATAGTTGACATGTGCGAAGTAACGCTGACAGTTCGTGCTCGACCAGAAAGCTCTCGGGATCCTTGGGACCATACTGAGTACATGCCTTCGTCATGGACTTCCCAGGTCACTAAGCGGATTTTGCTTCGGATGCCTGCACCGCAATGTGATAGGTACAATCCTCATTGCTACAAGCAAGCGCTCACCGACACAACTGATCGAAGTGCTCTTGTGTGACAGCCTGAAAGTTGAGGAACATATTGGGATGGACGATAGTCGGAGAGACGAACGTGCAGCATTCGAGGCAAGGTGCATCGTCGCGGGCAAGGCGTACGTGATCATAATGATTCAATGATGCCAACGTGGGTCTGACATTTCGCGCCTTAGCCAAGTGTATACGTGTCACATAGATGGCGATGGCATTATCTCGAGGACCCGAGTTTTTCACGCATGAAGCCATGCTCAAGTTACGACTTCGAATCGAGCATTATTTACAACGACAAGCGACCTCACCCTATTTCTCTGTGCAACATCTGCTGGATTCATCATGAGACCGACGTTCGACTTCTTGCAGCAAAATAGCAAGGAAGAGTTTGGCTGATCCGAGGTCGTGTCGGTAGAGGTTGACGATTCTCCTTCTATCGTGTAAGCCTTTGGCTGGTTATTATTGCATTGCGATGTGACCACGTGGAGCCGTACAGCGCTCGTATTGAGAGAGATCTTAGAATTAAATAAGGTTTGAGACATCATTTTTGAGGTGCTTGTCGTGGCACAATTATACGTACCCACGCAAATACATGCAACTGCGCGTGAAGTTACCGGGTCTTGGTTACCTTATGGCGCGCTGATATGATAGCCCTTGGAACTGCAATGGCACTGACCAAACCTGGTGACTCGTATGGATTTGCGAACAAAGGTTCCCTTGCATGCTGAACCCGTGAATGATGCCGCTGTTTCTTTCTTTTTCTACTAATGGCTGCGGCGATGAAATGATGCATTACGCGCAAAGAGAACCGTTCTTTTCTCTGCGTGCAATTATTGCTATCACTAGCATTGTTTCTATGAAAAGTTTAGGGATCGCACCAACGTCGTGTTATCGATACGGGAGGTCATGGCCGTATGCATGATGCAGAAACAGGCACGGACGGAATTGAAAAGTCGCTTGATTCAATGCTGACGGACTGTTGCCGCGTACACATCGAGCGTATTTTCATGATCCTGCAGTAAGTTACCGTGTCAGGAATGCAAGTGTATACTACATTTTATGCATTTGGTGTTCTTGTTGAAAGCTGAAAGTGAAAAAGGTACAGCGACCGAGTTGCTGCATGGACGAAAAGACTAAACTTGACGAGTTTTGGTGTTTGTATACGGAATTGCGTGGTCTACATAACATTGTTCAGTGGATCGTAGTGTTTCGTGTTTAGTTTGGTTGCAGAAAATCTAAATGCCACTTACTCTTTTTGATCTTTAAAGACCGTGTTCATTGTTTGCTTCCCTGTGTTAGTTCTGTTGTGACAGCAACAAGGTTTAACAGCTCTTCCTGAAGAAGCTAGTGTTGCCTGCTTTTGAGTTGCCGCTTGCGTCGGGATGACGTCTATGGCTGGATTTGGTCGATTCCATGTGTATGCAAACATGGTGTGCCTACATGGATGAATGTGAGTCGAAGATCTTAGCAACGTTTTATAGGAAGCAGTTTTCATTTCGTAACAATGACCACTCTTGATTTGGAAATGACTTCCATCACGCCCCTCATTAGCTCATCTGATAAAAACAATCACGTACCAATAGTGTTTGCTTGGCTTTAATGAACGAAGACGGAATCATACATTATTACTGCCTTAACAATAAAGTGAGACATTACCAGGCATGTATACCCCATGACGTATGCACATTCGCAACCGACTATTTTCTTGGACAAAATCGTATAGATGTCTGCTTGCATGTGAAGGATCGATGGATCATAAACCTCTTATTTCAAACTCACACTGTCAAAGCTACGTGCATTTGTCTCCGATCAGGTTTGATGATGCGTGACATCATCCGTGTCCACAATCTATGGACTTTGCGCTTGCAAAGTAAACGCACTTAAAACTACGCAAGGACTAAATTGAAAGGAACAACATAACTTTCAGTTTTGCGAATACTACAAAATTTATCACTGATTGATAAGGTAGGGGAGCGCGCTCTGGAGCTCGCCCTTTGATATGAGCATTTCAGTTCATAGAAATGAATCAGGTCAAAAAACACTATATAATGGCAGACAATGAAGAAGGAGTGTGATGCTGTAAATGTCCGTATAAAAAGCCTAGTACAGCTGGCTGGGGCAACGCGATCGGCCTATGCATATGAGCGTGTAACATGTGTTTATGTGGTCATATCCACCTTTGATTGGTTGTAATCCAATCAGGAGCATACATCACAACATTGACTTAGCCACGGAGTGACACCTGCTAACCGACCAATGAGAGGGGACATGCTAGATCGTATTTTGTACGAGTAAGCGTACAACTTGCCACAATGTTCACGGACGGACGACAGACATGCACCCACCCACCCACAGATAAGTACAATTCAAAAGCTCTGCATTTAACCTTGCGCACACTCTGTGGTGCCTGGAATGTAATGACTTGACGGAGAGTACAAACGTGATTGCATTGGGTCCTCAGTTCACACGCAAGCTGCTACTCTAAGCCTTCTGGATTCCATGCATAAATTCTTTCTCGATTTCAAATGGGACTAAACTTGAGTGGAGTTCACAGCTTGTCCTTACACGGTCGTTCCGCAACCATTCTGGAGCGGGGTTGTAAACCGTGCGCCTAAACGACGTCGAAACTCATTCTGGAACGAACGCCTTGCGCTACACACTCACTAATAGCTTCACCCTTTGGGCTCGCAATAATTCACGATCATGGTCTTTTTTGGCCTGATGGTGGCTGTCGAGTGTTTCAGTCGCGTTCATATGTAGCTAACCGATGACAATTTTACGGCCGTAAAATTGTCATCGGTTAGCTGGAATGTCATAATTGGCGGACAGCTTGACTCGTGCTAGAGGAGAGCAGAGAGTAGCTTCGATAACTTTAAACTAATCACTTCGGTATTTGCCTCCTGCACCACGTATTGCATCGTCAAAGTGAGTTAGAAGTTGAGTCACAAAAAGTATCGACTCAAAGTTTGTCGTTGACTTCAAAGGTGTTGACTGTTTCGATCATTGACCTGGCATTCAATCAAACTAAAATAATGAAGTGATTGTTGCATAACTTTTCATGCTGATAGGATGATGTGTAGGATGTTATGAAACAAGTATAAGACGTAGGCGAACGTCCAAAAAAGGCAATTTTCGATTTATCGTGACTAATCTTGCTGCTGTGGAGCAATTTGATGCGCATCACGAGGTCAAGGAAGATCAATGATTTGCCCTCGATTAACTAGATATTTAAAGAAATACACTCGTGCTGAGGATGAAAATGGTGAATTATGCGCAAATTACGTTTTCTATTCGGAGACGTCGAAGACGTCCCCCACCTAGGTGGGGGACCTCTTCACTGCATAGCATGTGAAAAATTTGGCTTTGGCCATCAAAGACCTCGGAAGCTACGCGCCTGCGCCTCTACAATTGTTGCGTATTACCGATTCTGCTCTACATCTGCGGAACTTGAGCCCTCACCGGTTCCGTGCTAAGTAGCCTCGAGAGTTTCCATCGTCAACGGCTCCACAAGGTGATCAGTGTACGTTAAACAGCCACATTTGAGAAGCTCTACGATCGTACCAAGTCGCAGCCACTCCGATTCCACTTGCTTCGCAGTCGATGGAGCCTTTTTGACCACATACTCCGCAAACATGTAGGCCTTCCAGTTTACTGGTACATGGAAGCTTTCTTCAACCCCAGCAAGACCGGCAAATGGAGAGGCAGATGCCGACTAACGCTACCAATGGTGCTTAATGCCGACCTTCAGACACTTTTCGCAGGACACCGCATGTAATGTGCCGCAGATATGTACCTACTTCGCCTTTGTGTACAGGATCGTGCAGCCCGGAAGAACTTGGCCGAAGCGCTCGTAGTGCACACGCCGCTTGACGGACCCTGGCCAAGGGAGAGAGAGAATTGTAGAAACAGAGGGATTATCCGGCGCATGCAGAAGTCGTACCACAATTGTGGCAAGACGGCTCACGAAACGCGTATACATACATGCATACAAAGAGGGATTGGAATCATCCGCACATCGTTCTACACACTTCAATGCGATGCATGTATTGGAATGAAGCATTTCTCAGTATATGGTGGATGAAGTTAAAATCTTCCAGAGTGATAGCTCAAAACTACACCTATCAATTCAAGTCTGTCACATCCACGCGTGACAACATGGCGGATCGGGTGACAAACGCTTCGCAAGAGCTCTTCAACATAGCAATAAGCAAGGCTTGTCGCCGTACACAAAGAGAGAAGAGTTATACGGATGTGAACAGACAGCCGGCAACAATTTTCCATTCGCTTGGAGAGATTCATCTTCTTAAAAGCAACGTCGGCACTGTATCGGGCACTGACGACGTTGCCGACGGTATCTCGAATGCTATGTATAAGCTTTTAGGGAATTGAAGCGTTGTTCAAGGGACGATGTGAAATACGTACGACTTCATATTTTAGGTTTGGGGCAGTACGAACTGGATCGGGCCCCACACGCCCTAGAGCCCTTGGTACGTCCATTTATCTGCTGGACTGTCAGTACATTTTAGATGGACATTTAGAACTAGGAGTAACACATCGCTTGCATAATGTCGGAGCGAAACATCGCGTACGACAAGTCTTCAAAATCGTATTCGATCGAAAGCTTGGCCTCGCATACGCGGATAGTTTGATTATCGTAGTAAAGGTTTTCCTAAAAATACTCAAACAATAAGCTGAAAGTGTCGCGTATAGAGCGAGACGGGTGAACGACAAATTTCAAATCATCGTGCAGTTATCCGAACGAAGTAAATGCTGGTATGGTAAAGTCCGCTATGATCGAATAGACTTCATTTGACGCTCGTATAATCATGCGACACCTCCGATACCGGAATACATATCTTCATGTGCTTCAGCTTCACCCGTTTCCATAATCGCTGATGATCAATTCAAATTTGATGCTGCGCAAGTATAACAACGATCCAGTTCAGCCATCCGCATTACCGCTTTCGTGTAATCACGGTCGCTATTGCAACTTCTTTCTAGCATCTCTTGTCCTCCATAGAAGGGTCTTGTGACGACATGTCTGCAAATATCTAGTCGCTGTGAGACTTGCTCTGACCTCGAAGAGCTGCGACCTGATCACGTAACAGACGCTGCTCCTTTATAATGAGCGTAAGCGCAGTTCCAGCAAAGCAAACTGCTCCTACTGCCACATGCAGCATGTGAAACACCAAGGCGGGTGGTTTATCCGTCTCGGAACGGATCAGTAAATACTGAGAGGTTGCGGTCACCACCAAAGAAACCACGAATGCAGACACTACGAGTCGATCCGGCAAAGACTGACGCCAAAATGACAAACCATTGACTACAGCATTGCTCGTCTGGACATCGGGAGCTACCTGGCGAAAGTACGAGGCCAGGAATGTCAAACAATAGAGGATTCGGCAGCCCATATTCACACAGTTTGCCAGGATAAGTCCAAAGGTACCCCAGTCGAGAACTTGCATGAATACAAGCGCACTGACCGCATATATGGCGAAGAATACACCGAGCAATTTGTTAAGATGTATGAGCTCGCGGTCATTTCCGATCGCGTGCACCACAGCTTCACAAACTCCATTTACTCCCAAGAAAGGGATGTAGGCGCAGTAGCCAGCCAATGCTACGCCCACTCCTTGCTGAACTTTCTCAGCTCCGTACAACAACAGCACCAACGTATTTGCGTAACTCGTCCCGAAACATACAAACGCCAGCCCCACCAAATTCATCAGCTTTAGCAGCACAAGCAACAATGTCTGTCCGTTTGCCAACCTGTCCATCTTCCCAATCTTGTCATCTTCTTCATCAGTTTTGTGCTTTTGTGCAAGTGCGAGCTTACTAAAGATAGCTTTAGTCGCTTCTTCAATTGGTAAAAAGACAATCCTCGGCACGAGCGATCCAAGATTCGAGACCAGACCATAGATTCCCATGTCGTGCAGCGACGCAAACCCTGTCAGCACCCACTTATCACCTTCAGTCAGGAGATACTTGACTGCACTCTGCACTCCCAGCGGCACGAACAACGTCCTCAGCTCTGCGTGACACCAATCAGTACCGATTTCGGTCCGTCGAGGCAATAGCTGAGTCATCGTTGTAAACGCGAAATGGTCGTCTGACTTCAACGATCGATTGATCCGTCGGTAGAAGAAAAGCGAAAACATCAGTAGCACCGTCACGGCATACGAAAGCTCTGCGAGCCCATAGGCCACCAACTCTAGCTTGAGCACGACCACTCCAACGTACTGCACTGCAGCTCGCACTAAAAAGGCCGCACTCTGCGCTGCAACTTGCCAGCTCACGAGCACACTCGCGTGCGCCAAGAGGAACATTGGCTCGGCCAGAGACTCGATCACTGCAGCTCCACAGTACATGGCAAAGACCACGGCATAGCTCAGAACCGCCTCGCCATGGTCCACTGTCTCCGACGACGTCCCGAGCGTCGTACCTAGCAGCAACAGACCTGCGAGCATCCAAGTCAGAGCCGTCGATAGCCACGCAGCGTTCACTACTTGCTGCAGGTGCAACTGGTTCATGTCCGAGCTCTTGGTGTCCATGGACGGCAGTCGCAGAAAGGCCAGACGAAAGCCGTCGCGGAGCACGAAGATCGAGGCCATGGCCAGTTCCAGACGCACGGTCACGGTACCAGTGACGTGGAGGTGCAACGTGCGCAGAACAACTGCATTGGCTGCAAAAGTGAGCACGCGCTGCACGAAGCGGTAGGAATTGCCTTGGAAGGCTCGAGATACAACGGACGAGCTCATGCTACGTCTGACGTGGTGTGTTTTGTGTGGAACAAGTTGCTCGGAGCGTCGACGATCGGACAAGAATCAGACTATGTGCGCAACATAAGGGGGTGGGCTTGTTGTGCGGACGTCTAGTGTCGCGGTGTGTTGGGACGGTCGTGCTATTTCCGTCGTACAATTCGCGAGGTCGTCCCACGCGATAAGATATTTGTTTTAACAGTGAAAACATTGTTAAAAGTAAAAAGTAGCTCATTCATAGACCGACAACTCACTGCGCCACTCTCATCACACCGAGTCGTCACTTGCAGCGCGCTTCTTCGCCTTCTTCTCGTGTTTCTTCTTCTTCTTCTCCTTCTTTGTCTCCTCCAGTCCCTCCACTTCACTCGTCTTGGCTTTTTTCCTTCTCCGGTCTGTGTTTTCCTCTTCCGTCATCCTAGTGCTCAACGCACGCATTGTCTCCATGTCTTGACTCGCCTGCGCCTCTATTTTCTGAAGCTGCAGCTCGTTGCGTTTCAACTTCCCGTTGCACGAGCCATAGGCTCGACGACCGAACAGTTTCCCACCCGTAGCAGCAAACAGCTCTTCTGCCGTCGGAATCCGAGCTTCGTAGTGTACCTGCTCGTGTCCTTCTTTGCGGTTGTTCCCTGACAACTTCTTCTCCAACCGTCTCGCCTTCTTGCGCCTCTTTCTCTCTCTCTCTGGCTCGTCAGCAGCTGACAACTCGTCGTCCACGACGATCTTACTAGCAACTGAATCGTACACATTGTACCACCACTGCTTGTGCTCCTCTCGGACCTCTTTCTTCTCGGCTCCCACGCCCTGCAACTCCTTCCTCCGCTTGACCTTCACGTGGGACTGCACGCCTTGCTCATGCTTGCCCAGGCCTTTACCGACGGACCACCCCATTTTCTCCATCTGAAGACGCGCAAACGCCGACACACCAATGGACGCACTCTCATTTGCCATGGCACCCAATTGGCTCCTGAAGCTCTTGCCCATGATCGGAACCCCTGCGTCCTGTGCCGTCATGATTGACAGCAACTCGTCCGTGCAAAAGAGGACAAGGAAAAGTCACGCTTGGCAGAAGGCGATGATTGGCAGTCGAGAGAGCGACGCGGATGTGAGGAGATGATTGGTTGATGGAATCGAGAGGGTGAACCGGGCAGCAAGGACGGAATAGGGCGGTGGATTCTAGTCCGGGGCTACCTTGAGATGATGTCCATCACGGATAAGAGTATTGGCAGGTTATCATTTTAAACGAGGAAACAAATGAGCGAGCGATTGGTTTTAACATCTGGATTCATTCGTACTCGCGTAGCTCGCAACAGCTGCGGTTACGCACCTGTAACCAAATGGAGATCTCGTTGGGGAACAAACGGGTGCTAATTGTACGTCGGCAAATTCCCTTTTTCCTAGCTGCTGACATGACACATCGGATGAAATTGTTGCCCAACGACACCAAAAGTGCCCGCCACAACCGCTTTTGCGAGTTGGATGCTCGGATGATAGTCGTTCGTCTTTGCAGCGCAAGACATGGCGCTTCGAAGATTCTACGCTGGTCGGTTCGATTTGACCGAAGTGTGATCAGCGGTGAAGTTGAATATGCTTCGAAGGGGAAGCGTTCCACACATCAATGGAGCTGCAGGAGACTAAGCGTGATGCCCTCCGTTTTATACCTTGTCGCGCTAGTGAGATTGACGGTCTACTCGACGTCATCATAGACAATAAGAAATTACAGCGGATCCACTCGCACTGGGCGGTCAATGGTAAGAACAATAACTGCGCCATGTGCTGCCCCGTTCAAGCTCTTTGAGTGAATTTCATCGTAGATATAGCAATCGATACACAACTTCGATGATGTCGAACGTAGGCTACGAATTGCTGAGCTCGGGATTTGAGGTGGGGACTGTCAACATGTGGTGATCAGCACATACCCAGCATGATACAGCAGCGCCACCTGAACCTCTCAATATCACTTGATTCGCACACTCGACTTTTTGTGCGCAATAGTGTCGTAGCCATGCTCTGCATTTGTACTGTCGTGACTCTTCCCACTGCAGCTGATCACTGGAAAGCTGTATGCCTCATTTCTCGCGAGCGTGAACGCACACGCACAACGTCTTCTATGTAATCGATTGAGAGTCCTATCTAACCTTGCACAGGCTTCGCGCCCGCCACTAGTTTGAACTAGTTGTGTAAGGAACCGCATCGTATGCACAGTGTGTCATATTCAATCATGTACTTTCAGTACTGATTCGGCGCTCGCTCATTTACAATCAAGACGAACATCGAGTGGCTTACGGGATCTGCTAGAAATAGTAGCCCTGTGTGTTGCCACTTGCACCAACCACTTCGAATACTGCAGCTTGTAGTGATAGTAGCATACGTTCGGGATCGCCGAAAGTCAAATCTAATCGGCACCGAATCAATCCTGGTAAACGAAAAAGCTAGGTCCATGCATCAAGACAGCTCGATACTGCTCATAGTTCGGTAGCAAATTAGCAAGACCATAGGTTTAAGTGTCGTTCGCAAGCATTTGAAGCTACTACGCAAGCCATTGTACATACACTGCGCGCAATAAAACACAGTACGTCATGCATAGACCTGGCAATCATGTGACTGCGATCATGTTTTGATGGGTGTCACATGGTGCTCGGAATTCCATCAGTTATTTGTGCACACTATATAAACTTACAACTCTTCTCAAGCCGCCATGGCTAAGCTCAAAGCAGAGGCTGAAATGACTGCTGCGCATACATACCAGAACGCAATATAATGAAGATAGTTTGTGTTGATCGATCGCAACTTGGATCAAACCTTCCTTTGAGTTTGTTAAACCAACTAGAAGCTCAAGTAGTACTTGCACATCAAGTCTGATGACGAAGATTGTGCAGGTTTGGACGAAGGTTCGCACAAAATCACGTTTGGTGCGCATTGTGTGCTACGTAGTTCCATGGCTTCTTCAAAATAGGTCCAACGCCGGGATAAGTATTTTCACTCATGCTTTGGCGCAGAGCGGACACAGAAAAGACCAGATTGCAAGTATTGCACTCGATCGAAGTTTGCACCATTTTTTTGTTGTCTAGACGATGTAGCTGGAAACGACGTAAAACATGTTGAACAGCTTCAATTGCTTTACTTGAGTTAGAGGCGAGCTACCTACACCAATCCTTGAATCGTTTTCATTAAAGCTCTGTTTGCCTTGTAGTCCATCCTGCTTTCTGCCATGATCAGACGAGCGACTGGATGCTATCCGTTATGGACGCTGGGAACAGCAACCACCTGTGTTTGCTCCACCGCATCGCTGCTATGACGACTATATAATGGGTTACCTTTGGTCCAAGACTAGAGTCTCCGTTTAGGCCTCTGCAGACTGCGACCCGTTTGATCTTTGCTGAGCTGAATACGTGTGTCGTTACTGAAATGCTGTGCCATATCTCGTTTCATTGTATTCTATCCGATTGACACTCACGTTTCAAGTCATGCGAATATGATGTCGCTATGATTGCATTGCTTCACGAAAGCACTCGTCCTCTCACCCTTTCGCATCAATGATGCTACTGCTTCATACTACCCACACACGAAATACTGCTGAATTCTTGCTTGGCCACTTATGAGATGCCGGATCTTTCTCCAGGAGTCGCACCTTAAACAACATCCATTGTTGTTGTAAACTGCATATTCTCAATCAGAATCGAAGCGAAATACGTTGCCTACAAACGTAAAAATCGCGCACTTACCCTGCACATCGTAGCCACAAAGCCGCTTAATCAGATAAAGCATGCACTGTTGGGCCGCTTGTCTACCAAAAAAAAACGGCGCTTCATGATCTAACGTACAATCTGTGGTGCTTCCCGAGGTGTACGCCTATACACTACACTTATTCTGGTCAATTGTTGCATGTAAACGCGGACATTATCACGACATTCAAAGCTGTTCCGGTATCGCTTGAAACAGAAAAGTTTTGACTGATAATTAGAGCGGAACTGCTGATCTTGCATCCACCATGAGCCCACCCATAAATTGTGTCAAACATGGCGCTTGCAACTTTGACACACATGTTCTCTGCTACCCCATTCTAGCAACAAGATAAAAGAGCTTGTCATGAAGCGTAATGTAGATATGCTTGAAACCCGCCATAACTATCATCCTGTACGACTGCTGGCTTACGTATTGAAATATAGGTGATGCTGAGGACGGATTTTATGGGGTGTGACTTTACTTGATATCGACATCAGTAGTGATGTCAACAAGAAGATCATATTGCATGTAGAGCCAACCACATTACTTGAAGCGGTAATAATGAGGAATATTACCTGACCAGGTTACATTTGCAGTAGATGACGACACCCCACAGCCTGGATAGTATAGGCCGTAGCATCAGTCGACAAGTCACACTCTTGAAAGAGACGCGCGCAATGAGTGATGAGAAAGTAGTCAAGATGCTTATCATTTGGCTTAATGTAGTTATAGTAAGATTCGAACGATCACTTTCGATGATGCTAAGTGTATCACATGCATGTCATGCATTTGTTGTTGTACCTGGTCTCATCTGGGCTATGCATTTTTGTACTATATTGTACGTGAGTTTTCAGTACACGTATTCCACATTGTTTTATCAGCGTATGTGTGCGGTGCTTCGCTAAACCCAGTAGCACTTCGTGATCCGGTCGGCGACCACGGAGAGTTCCGCCGTAGAACTAGTGGATGTTCCACGCAGTTTCGAAACGCCTAACAAATAATGCTTTTCAGCGGTCTTAAATAAAAGACAGTCCAGTAAATGGCTGAATTAGTCGGAGATACCGCTTTTAAAGATGTGTTGTATACCCATACCCGTGACAAACAAGATGCATTTGTTCCCAGTTTTATATCGTGTAAATCAGACAAATTGAGAAAAGAGAATGCCTTGCCACATGACTAAGGTTCTTAGCACCGCTTTATACTGCAAAATACGCACCGAACGATATTAAGTGTTGAAGCAGCAAGTGTTCCAGCTGTCAGAACTGGTAAAACACACCACAGTTCTGACAGCACATAATTCTGCTTCCGGGTCGAAATAATTACGCCGATCCGAATCCTTCAAGGAACGCTTTCACTACTAGGGCGTCGAAGAAGATTATGTCGATTTGATTGTCAAATTTGACGAAGCCATCAAGGATCTCGAAAAATAGATGAAGCAACCGAGGGTAACGTTCGTCGTGCCGAACCTGGGAGGATGTGATAAAGCTGAGATCTTATGCTTATCGAAGCGGATGCTTTAGTCTTATGAGCTCATTACGGCACTTTACATGTCTATTGGCCTATCGCTGCATGTGTATTTAGAGTTCTCATGCCACAACACGCGACCATACCCACATGATGTATAAATTGGCAAAAATATCAATTAAAAGTGTACTGTATCCGACAAGCGATGCATGAAATAACTCAGATGCTGTGCAGCACGTGTCCAGAGAGACCCAGAAGCCAATAAGCAACCAGGTAGTTCGTATTTGGCACATCAAGTTGAAGAAAGGCAACTTAGTTCTTGGACCGAGCTTTCGTGATGATCCGGTTCAAAAAAGACCATGTGGCGACACCCCAATGTGTAAGTAGCAAAAATTAAGAAGGATGAGCATCCCCAAATAAGACACACTAGAAATGAAGATCTGAATGATGATGTTGCCAACTTTTGCTACACAGAACTTGGACGAGTGAAATGGCACAGCACATCGACAGGAATGCATTTAAGCACCACAATTTTTTTCGACTCTTGGCACACGCAAAACGTACTCTTAACATATTTAGTTTTCATGTTTTGCCTCAAAAATGCTCTGCATAAAAACCACACTGTTAGTCTACTGTGACGCGTACATTTTCTCGTGGATCGATACATCTTACATCAAAAGTCACTTTCAAAGAGACAAATGATATCTCTGTCTATAAGCCAACCACATACAGCAATTTCTGTGCTCATTCGAAACATAATGACAGATTTGCTGCTTTCAATCAATCCATCAAGGATTCCGTGGGTCATTCAAACTCATTCTCGG